GCCTTCCGTCGTGTTTGCAAAAGCGCTCTATTTACAGGTTACAAATGAAGACGGGAGCATAGTACAGGACAATCTCGGTTGAGTGAATTATCCCGTCGTCTTTGCTTCCGTCGTCTTTGCTAAAGCGTTCTAGTGCGATAACGCACTTGCCCTGTGGGCGCGTGCATTATAACTATGTGCACTGACTAAACTTCGTGCACCGGCCCTGCGCTCACACACTCGCAACAGTGCATTATTTGTATAATATAAACAAACCATTCAACATTGGTTATTCATGGATGGCGCTCATTGTTCTATTTATAAATATATATTCTTTTCATATACAGTTAACATATTTTCTATGACGAGTTGTAGCACGCTGCCTAGCCATCATGCATATTTGCATTATACCATTGTGTTGGCAATAGGTGTGTTTCCAATTTGGCTAACAATGTAAAGTTGGCTGTTTTGGCCCTTGTAGATGAAAAGGTTCTAGCAAGCCTCTTTGTAGAAGTTCCCGCAAAAAATAACAAATAGAGGTGTTGACGTAGGACCTATTATTTGGTTATCATGACAACTATACTTTTTGCTTTGAAACGGATGACAATGTGTGTACGGGGATCTAGAGGGGAAATTCCCTTTTTATTGTGTTAGAATATTGGGCCACGTTTACTTAACAATCACATACTATTTACTTACATCTAGTTTGTTGCCGAATTTGTCCTCTTTTTTTAACAGCTATTTTTTTTTTGTAAATTCAATTTTCAATAATAATTATATATCTTAGTATGTATCTTGAAGCAAATACATGTGTATTAACCATGTTTTGCCTAATTATGTAAAGCTTTTTATATTTAAATGTCTATAATGAATATATCAATGACATTGCGGTTTGTGCTTTAGGATTCATTATTTAATTTTGTAGTCGGTTTAAGTTGGTCTCAACAATTATGCTGCATTTACATTGTACGGTATTATATTTGTATTATAGTTTATTACACTTTATCCGATTATATATCTAGATCTCCATTTCAGCCTATTTATCTGTCCTACTCTTTACCTGTCCCTTTTATTGTGTAGTCTGCTCGCCAGCTTCTCTTTCTCATTTCTCTATGCCCTCTCTCTCTCTCTCTCTCTCTCTCCCCTCTCTGTTATTATCTTACCAGTCCTTCTAATCTTCTGTTACATTTGTCTTATTGTCTTCTGCTACGCGATCGTTCTCCTTCAATTATCCTTTAGTCATGCGTTTCAATCTCTTCTCTTGTTTCTCTTCTTTTCTTTGATCATATCCTTGATTCTTTATTGTATATCGCCATTTATAATTATGTATATGTTATGCTTTTGAATGTATCTTTTGTAAATTCAATTTGTTTCAGCCTCTGGCTGCTATTTGAATGTTTTTTAATCAATAAACCATATCAAATCAAATCAAATACCTTTTCAAATCAGTGATAGATCACAATTATACCAGACAGATCAAATATTTACATTAACATTACAGCTCGGTCACACAATCAAACTGGATCCACACCGACTTCAATCCAATCGACTCTTGGACATTTGGGATAATATGATACGCAGTCACATTATTTAACAAGAACGACAGCAGACCGAGCAAAAAATATATTACCCCGAATAACCAAGGTTTGGTCGGTTCGGAGTCAGTTTAGCGGTGTGACATAGGTATATTGTTTTGTTCGATTTGTTGTCGGTTCGGTGTCGGTCACATTAATGTGTCTCCGGTAAAAATGGACGTGCATTGGTCGGTATCGAGACGGTGTGGAGTCAGTTTAATAGTGTTACTAATACCTCTGTCACACAAACGAGACCGACACCAGACCGACAGAACACCTAGCAAAATATTGTATTACCCCGAATAACTAAGAATCACTAGGTTTGGTGTCGATAAAGATTTGATTAGGGCACAAGATATGATAGAAGTAAGATTTCATTCCGAGGAGTAATAGGAGTCATTCCTTTAAAATACTTTAAAATGTAGTTGAAATTCGCTCCAAAGTAGCGATTGAATAAAGCTTTTGAGTATAGTTTCTACTATCTTTTAAAGTCAATTCCACTCCAATTAAAGTCACTCTCTCTCGAAGTTGATGTTGTCTCCTTAACATTTAGAATGTAACATCGCGGAAGGTGCTTAGCAACTATGAAACAAAAACAGAAACATGAACAATGCAAACAAAAAGAAAGACATAACAAAAAGGAGCTGAAATAAAACAGCAAAATATGCTCCACTAGTGAAGTTTCTTATTATTTTGATAATTAAACAAAAGTTTTTTGTAGAATACCTTTCCAAATCAAGTCCTTTATGGCAGCGTTTTTATTACCTGTTTCATCCGCATGCGCCCTTCTCAGAAATGATAGCGTCTCCCCGAACCTGAATTCATCACAAAATATTACTTATACATCTTTATGAAACTCATCAAATGCCATATAAACACTAACGGGCATAACATTGATGCATATGCACATAATTTGCGTCAATCTGCATGTTAACATCCAATTGTGTCAATTGAATGGCATTTTGTGTGCAATTCCATGAAATGTATCCGTATTTATGAATTTCTTTGAAAAACCTACAATTATCGCCATGCCGTATGACACTTGATCTAAAGCTATGGTCACAACTCAGAGCGGCGACCGACCGATTTGAAGCCTGCTCGTTCGCCGCTGGAATTACGCTTATTATGGAGCTCTCACACTCTGCCGTGTAGGCCTACCGTCCAACTGCCGGGCTATTAAAAAACAACAGAGTCCACAACGTTGGGTTTTGAGCGAACTTGTCCCCGGCCGCAAAAAAAAATTCATAAAATTAATTTTTTCACCGTTTCGTTGCCATCTTCTGACCGTTCTCACCGGGCGCATACCGGGTGTTAAACGTACTTCTATCGTCTTCACCGCCCAGATTGACTTTTGTTGAAAATTTTGGCCGTTTCCATACCGGGCCCATACTGGGTCTCGAACGTGTGCACCGGGTTTGTAGCAGCCACCTACCAGTCTCTTAGCGTCTCCTCACCGCTCGGAGCGTCCTGTGAGCGAGTCCCCGAACTGCTGACGTCATGACACGACTGCCATAAATACCCCGATTTGAACGGCAACGGTCAGCCGGCCAAAGTTTTGAACATGCCCAAAACTTTCGCCGGGTCCCACCGGGTGTAAATAAGTGCCAACGCCCTATTAACGTGTTGCCCGCTTTGATAACGAACCACCGTGTGCCCTCGCCGTTCTCCACCGTCCGCAGACATTTTCGCGCACGGTGGCACACGGTAGGCCTACACGGCAGAGTGTGAGAGTCACTTTACACCCGGTGGGACCCGGCGAAAGTTTTGGGCATGTTCAAAACTTTGGCCGGCTGGCACCGGCCGCAAGTAAGCGGCAATAGGACGGTGTTGAACGGTATGAGGACGATATGAATACGTTATGAAAACGGTCACACTGTATGAACACGTTCACAACACGCTCATAACCCGTTACAGAACGGTGATGAACGGGCAAAAAAAAATCCACCGTCTGCAACGGGTTGTAAGCGGGTTGTGAATGTGTCATGAACGTCAGCAGTCCGGGGACTCGCTCACAGGACGCTCCGAGCAATGAGGGGACGCTAAGTGACTGGTAGGTGGCTGCTACAAATCCGGTGCACACGTTCGAGACCCGGTATGGAAACGGCCAAAATTTTCAACAAAAGTCAATCTGGACGGTGAAGACGGTAGAAGCACGTTCAACACCCGGTATGCGACCGGTGGGAACGGTAAGAAGATGGCAACGAAACGGTGAAAAGATTAATTTTATGAATTTTTTTTTGCGGCCGGGGACAAGTTCGCTCAAAACCAACGTTCTGGACTCTGCTGTTTTTTTAATAGCCCGGCAGGTGGACGGTAGGCCTACACGGCAGAGTGTGAGAGCTCCATTAATTTTTGACCTAAATCACCCGACAGCGAACGCTCGATTAGGTCGGTGCCCGGGCGGCGACCGCCGGGGCACCGAGCGTATTTTAGGCGCCGAGTGAAACGTTAGCAGGGCCTGGCGCCGCCCGAATTTTAACTCCGCGTTAAAACAAAAAGCGATGCCCTTAAAACAAGCGGTGCCCGTGCCACTTTTTTGGGTTTTGACCATAGCTAGCAGCATGCAGCAGTCAAAACCACCCGATCCGACCAGCCTAACCTCAGTGAAAAATAAGGTGAACGTTTAGAGACTCTGACGTTCCTTGCAAGAAAATCGACGGCCTCTGAGACGAAACAAAAACCATGCACTGCAAATTTCTGATATTAAAGCATCACTAAAAATTGTGGCCTGAATATTAAACAAATGAATTTCCGAAGCTTCTTATATCCCGGTCACACATATACGTCGCTCCTACTACGATGAATAAGTGGCCGAGAGCGTGGCCAATCGTGGCCAATCGTGAGCCATACGTGGGAGGATCTCCATGCGCGTGGGTTGGTTGGGGTGGGATCTCCTATAGATCGGGAAGCTGCATGCTTTCCCTACGCTTATTTTAAACGTGCTCAAAATTAGCGCAGCCGGTTCATGGCCAACAATAAGCGGGGCATAGCCTATATTTTGTTCATAAAGAGTAAATAATCCTGCAAATGTTTTCTATAACGTTTCAAGATAACACACTCCTGAATGGAATGCCACATGATGCAAAAGATCGGCAAAACAGTGAAGAGCAAATAGCCGAAGATATTATAAGTGAACGAGTGCAAGTCTATATAACTGGTGGTGTGTTTGTCTAGTAATATGTGACGCCACTATACAGAGCTCGCCTTTCTATTATATCTATATGATTTTTTAGCAGATTATTAGTGTTTTTCAAGAGAAAATCTTTCCATCGATATGTAATTTGTCCATAATTATCAGTTTTAGTGAATTTTCTTCGGGTTACTACTTTAAGAAATTAGCGTGATGAGATCTATGTAACAAGCTTCGAAAGACAAGTACAGAAACTTAAGTACCATACAAAAATCTCATTTTTGGAAAGTTGAATATAAATAGTATTATGAACTTACTTTGACCTGCCTCTGAATAGATTACAGCTACGCAGAAGAAAATAGCAACTTGCTTTTTCCAAATCATCCTAGAGAGTGATAAGTTTGCCAACTATATCAGAATTCGTCAAATATCTTCGAAATACAGCGTATTTCTTCTTAACCTGCCACTACTTTTTCTTCTTCTTTGTTCCTCTTCTCCCGTATTTCCTCTTCTCCTCCTTCTTCTTCTTGTAAGTCGTAACACCTCTTGTTACTTCTTATTTGTTCTATTATGTGCTCTACTGATCCCTGTCCGTCTTATCTGATTCCGTTGTTACTCAGCTTTCTCACTTTTCCTCTTCTGCCACTCACTAGTCCACTGCCTGCGTTCTCGCCTTCTTTGGCTCTCAATTCGTACGCCTTTAAGGACGCGCTCGTCCGCCCACGAAATTACGCACGTTTATACAATCATACCCTTTTAAGGTTGGGTAAATAATGACCTAGACAATGAATTCAATCTCTATACAAACAACATGCTGAAAAAACAAACATGCTGAGCATTATAGACTCAAAATTCAATGGAAAATGTATGGGACACACAACATTTCTGGTTATGCACTTTTGTGTATTAAAATATTATCACTAATGAACATTTCAATTTAATTATCAACAAAGGGCTATAAAATACAGTGCTGATATAAAGATTGTGAGGAAGAGGAAATATGAAGAAACAAAAACAGGTATATAAAGAAGGAACGATTTAAATAGCAAGAGTAGTTTGGTTTACAGGGTTTATTCCAACAGAGTGTTAATATTTTGTATCAGATTTTAGTATTATTCCATCCCTATCGACATACCGCTCGGTTATTAAATTGTGTTTAAGTTTTGAAAGCAAAAACAGGCAAAGGATTTGAAAGTTCATCGCTTCTCAATGCTCTGATGTGAAATACTAAGAAGCCTTAAAAAGGGAATTTGCAGTTTGGAGAAAAGGAATGTGATTTATTTGACATCACTTTTTAAAGAAAATACTTAAAGTTCCAAATACGACTAATGACAAAAACGTATAGTAGGAAGAAAGTGAGAGACGATTATCAGAAACGGATAGGGTTAGAAGACGAGTTTAACGAGATGGACGTACTACGAACGGAATTGCCGTACTTCGATCCTACTAGGAACGTGTTACCACGTGATGCGGTCTAGCATCAATAAGGAAAAACGCGCTGGGTTTGTATATCCCTCGAACCAGGACCGAATTGCAAAGCACGATATAAGCGCGTTCGAACGCATTAAGAACAAGATGAGGACGAGTTGAACTGTTTCTGAACGGGGTTGTTTTGGTTATAAACTAGTTAGAACAAGTTCCAAACTAGTTGGACTGCTTGGAAATATCAAATTTATCCGATCTGAACTTGATATGAACTGACTGTGGACGGGTACAGACGAGTTGGACGTATTGTGGACTGTTAATGAACGAACTAGGATCGTATTAGAGACATAAGTCCAGTCCGAGCCCGTCCATAAAGTCCTTAAACATGTCGCAAACAGTTACTAAAATACGTTCAACTCCGTTCGCACACAGTTTGAGCCCGTTTGGCAACATTTTCGAGAACGTAGTAAGAACTTGCTTGGTGTGATGGGGCTTTACTCAAAATATTGGGGTCATGAAATCGATCTATATTTCAAAAGTTTGTACACACAATAATTCTGTCTATTGAAACACTTTAACTTGATTAGACATGAAATATGATGTCATGAAAGACAAAGTAATGAATAATTCATTTTAAATTATTCCAAATGGATTGATGGATATGTACAGGTGCACTTTTGAATGGAAAACACACTGTACATGTGCATCTACAGCGTACATGTACCGTGTACAGTAATTATCGCATGACAAGGTGATTAACTAAACAAATAAATTGATGCATGAAGTACTTCGCTTTATGGTATAAAAACCACAAACGAAAACATAACTTACAATGTTTATTGAACCGACTTCTAAGAGGAAAATTTGAAAGAGAGAGAGAGAGAGAGGGGGAGGGGGAAGAGAGAAAAAGTGGGGGAGGGGGGGGGGCAAAGCTAAGAAAGTGAGCACTGAAGGATGTGAAACTAATTGTTATGACTACGTTTATCGGATGATGACATGTGTAGGACTTTAATCCACTTATGTGGTTTCATGTTTAAAGTGAGGAAGGACGCAAACACATTACGATGTAAACGACGACAATAATGATGAAAATTTCATTAATGGAGAATCTCCCTTCTCAATTCTCATTATTGTCTCCTCTCTCTCTCTCTCTCTGTCTCTCTCTCTCTGTCTCTCTCTATGTTTCCCTCTCTCTCTCTATATATAATATTTCTCTCTCTCTCCTCTTGTTAATGAACTCTCCTTTAAACAAAAACACTGATGGACGACATGTCAACTCTGACTAATATTGCCATTAATTCAAAAAAAAATCAAGGCCGATTTTTGCCATGACCAGATCATCTTTAAAATTTTGTATATGACAAGTCGGCTGCCTACTTATGTAAATCTAATATTTTCATTTTCCAAAATGTCATTACTGAATTTGTAGATTTACCACTAATTATCAAACAACTATCTCAATGCAAAGGTATGTATTCATAATAGGTCACGAAAATAGCAAATTTCATGACCAAATTGATTCCATCGATCTTCTCTCATGATGATGAATTTAAAATTAAAGAACAAATATCATTGGGATTAAACAAAAACACTTGATACTGGTGTTTTATTGAATGAGCAAGACTACTATGTTACTAGATTTGTGTGTTAAAATCAATTTGATTATTTTGTGTTAATATAATTGCATTCATCGTAATTTGCATGTGTAGTTTGCGATTCATGTGATCATGTTCGTGTATTCCTTTCAACCATTCTTCTTTTGTTTAAATCCTGCTTTATATTGTGGCGGCCCCCGCCTTCGATCCTGACCTCTACGTCAGAATTGTTCCCATTCCCTGGTGGGGAATTTGATTCTTCTTTATACTTTATTTATAACCCAGCAACTCTGTAAGGAGTTTCGTCAGATGACATATTATCAATATCTTTCGAGCGGTCAAAGAAAAATAGGTCCTAACATCATTTTTAAAGGGGTGGAGGCAGCTACAACTAATTATTAATGTTCATTTAGTTAAAATATATTACTATGACGGAAGTACACAAATTAATAAAGACACAGTTTATTTACTAATATTAAGTTTCAAGAGAAACAGAATAATATTCAACTTTTATTGATAATAAATTACAATATTTATATCGCCAATGTTAACATGTCTGGTGCATAAAGTTAAACTAATTCATATAATTCCTTTATTTTCCTTCTTATATTTATCTTAATAGATGTAACTATAAAACTTCAAATGGAATCAATGAACATCTACGTTGTCAGAACTATGAAAGTTTCCCATCTTATACAATTTTTTTCTTCAATTTCTTGTAATATACGGCATCATAGAAGGGAGTGGTTTATAAATATCCCAGCGTGTAGACTTCGTTCAGTACCTTAGACATATTACGTTTCAGCGTCTTTCTTCTATGGGTCAAATTTCCAAGTAGAGCTCAATAATAGTTGTTCATCCGACGGAGGCAAAATTCGATTCCCCTAATAAACTTCAAACATCTATTGGGTATAAAGTCACAATTCCAAGAGAGTATATATTTGTTAATGCCGGACAGAGCACAGTCAAAAATCGTTGAGTCATAAATTTATCTACAGTATATAACATTCATCAAAAACACCTAGCGCTGGATCCGTGAACATCGTGCGCTCAACCACAAAGAAACGTGGCTAAACATAGTCATTAAGGCAAACCTCATATTTTACAATAATCATATACAACACTCCAAATGAAATATCAGTTGCACGAAATATTAACAAATTACCATGCATATACAACTTATCATTGAATTTCATGATTTTTATGCAGGGGCGGCGACCTCTTTTCATGACCGGGGGACGAAATGCGAGGGACGAGAGAGGAGTGGCGTAATGAGCAAAAACTTTTTTTTTTTATTATTATTTTTTTTTTTTTTTTTTGGGGGGGGGGGGCAGAAAAAAATGGTGCATCACCACCACTCTTACATGTTACGCAAGGCCTGGGAACTTTTTTTCAAAATAGGGGGGGGGGGGCTAAAGTATTTACGATCAGGTAGATAAAGCAAGGTGGAGCATAAATGGCGTGGGTGTCAAGCCCCCGGAAGCTCAGGGAAATATCATGCCATTTCAGCAACATTTGTAAATCACTGGTATCGAATTAGAAATAAACCACGTTTGAATTTCATTGGGGGAACTGCCCCCAAAGCCCCCCCCCCTTACAAGTGCGAGGGAGTAATAGTGAATGAGAGGGGTGAAGGTGACGGAAGTAACTAACCCCTCACAGGTTTTTGAAGTTGTCTTGTATTAACAAAATACAGTCTTAGCAAAACTATAGTATAAAAACAAGCAATATACTTTTTTCACACTTCACTTTTCTTGGTATTTACTTGTACATTTTAGAGGATATTTTGCGAGGGAGCGTAGCTACCGAGTGAGAAGAGTTTTGCATTTTAATTTGTCTAAACACTGCACTCTTAGGCCCTCCAGAGCCTAAAAGTGAGTTGCAGTATTGTCAGTACTTGCCATACATTCTTTTTTTGCACTTTTCTAATTTTGAGGGGGAGGTTCCCCCTCTAAAAAAATTGAGGGGGGGGGACGTGTCCCCCCCCGCTCCTGTTCCCCGGGATCGCCGCCCTGGTTTTATATTCATAAATGTGTTTTGTTTGTTTTTAAATGGTCATAAAAAAGTTTAACATTTTTCAAGCATCTCAATAGAGAATCCAAATACCTAGCGCTTGAATGCAAATTATCTAGATATAATATTGTCACTGCACTGTATTCGCGTCTATGAACGACGCGCATGGAAACAACATTCAATGACTCATATTCATTTCTTTACAATACATAAAGTGATTAACAAAAATCTGTTCATTGTCAAGCAGTATAACAACCTAAAGGATTTTAATCAAGTCTTAGAGAGTCTTAGAAACCAAATCATCAAATGAGTTTTAGAAACAAATGGATACGGCAGGCCTCTTTTTTACGTCACGGCCAAGGAGGATCGTTCTGAAATTATGACTTCTCCCTTGTGTTTACCCAAGTTTATTTAACCTATCGTATTATATTTGTCTCTTTATTTCTTTTCTCACCCATCCACCCACCTACTCACTAAACACAACCATCAGGAAACATTTGTGTCTTCATTCAAGAATTACGAAATTAATATTCGCAAAATTTTTTTAAATGTTTTTTTTTTCATTTCCCAAGTGGTATGAA